GTCCGTGATGACTGGCGGTTGATACACACTGGTAAAACGATTCCATTGATATTTATGATGCAGTTATGGTGCATAACAACGATAAAAATAATAATAATTATTATTATCATTACAACTGAAATGATTTTCTATATCGAAAAGAAATATCTATTAAATTTTTTCTATAAAAAATAAATTTCATTAACTGAAGCTAATCTAGTAGTCATGTACTTTCATTAGAATGTGAAAAATTTTACTTAACTAAAACTGCATAATAAAATCACACAACTAAATCAGCACAATAAAATAACAAATCTTTGGCGTACGATTACGGCTTACGGAACTGATTCGTAAATTTTCCTAGCAGTGTGATGATATTTTTTTCGATTTCACCGTTCGCCCCACGTTTCAAATAACAATTTTTATGCATCTTCTCCTGTACTTCTTCCAGTATTTTTCTCTCCGTGTGTGTCTATTTATCGAATACATTTTGTGCTTCAAATGCTAGTCTTTGAAAAATAAGTGTAATAAATAAACAATGGGAAAGAATAACAGCTCAGTCACGTAGAATTTATAGTTCAATCACATTGAATTACGTGAGCTTTTGGCGCATAGTTCGGGAAGAAACAGATAGGGCAGAGGTGTCTGACACCGAGATGTGCTCGGAAAGGGTATAGACTCTCGGGTTATGTGTGGCTCGTGCTCTGAAAAGTGGATGGGAGAGGGTTTGGGTTGTTGCACGATAGTTCGTAGGATCTATGACCCGAGTTCGCTAAGAGACCGCGAAAGGGGTGGATTTACTGGTCCGGGCCGCGTTCACACCACACAAATTCAAGTGACCGAGCGGACAAGAGGGCTACGGAGGACGACTTCTCCTCACTCCACCTTTTAACTATAACCCTCTATATTCTACTGTCGGTTTTCCGTCTCGCCGCATACGACTTACACTGGAGGAATTACTTGGAAGAGGTTGCTGTTTCACCAGTGTATTTGAAATTTTCAGGTGGAAAATCAAATTATAACACTTGAAATAGTTGATAATTACTCTTTGCTACCGAATCGTGGCAATATTCCAGATTCTAAAATTAAGACCAACAAATTTCCCTTTACTGCTTAATTAAGAAATCATTAAATAATGCAAAAAGGACGTGTAACCTAGTTCATCAGGATGAAACAAAGTGGAGGAGAAAAACAACCGAATAAATTGATAGTCACGTAGGCCTTGCATATCATTCACTATCACTTTTTTTCCATCGCCAAGACACGACTAAAGGGCAAGAGGGGGTGATGAAATAGGGTGAAATAGGGGGAAGAATGAATTCAGTCGTTTCAGCACATTTCGTTTCCAGTAGTCGCCTGAGCGTCGCCTCTCCCGACACCGGAACGGCTCGCAGCTTTTTTATATTTGAGATGTCATCCTGTATTGTCCATAGGGTCCACAACTCTGCTTCATACAATCCTATAAGGGTGAATTGTAAGAGTGGGGAGGGAGATGAGGGTGGATGTAGGTTGTGCTCGGCATGAAAAAAAGCGGCGCTCGTTAGCTCCGTGAGAAATTAATTATTTGCCCGCCATCGCCGCGGCGGCCGTGCCCGAGTAATGGTGAAAAATGTCTGGATTGTGCGGGATTACAGACCGGGTACTCCTCCCATCCCTTGGAGCTAGAGGAGGAGAGGAGGTTGCTAACGCCACGGGTACCCGTGAACAACTACAGTGTACAACCGAGGGGGAAAAGTGAGATGTGGCCGAAATGGCTATAAGGGAAAAGAATAAGAAGAAATGTATCGGTGTGGCTCGTTACACTTAAATTGGAAGGAATGACGAAGTGCTCTCGTTATTCATCGAGAATAATAATAGAAAAAGAAGTACAAAGCCCCTCCCCCCTCTCCTACCGCAATCCCTAATTTTAACATTTTTTTCGCTCATTATTTATGAGCTTAAAAAAATAGTTATAAATTGAGGGAAAAGATCAATCATACATTATGAGAATCAATGATGAAATTTCATCAATAATGAGGGGATTTAGTGAATAATTGAAATAATACTTGGAACAATTTTGAAGTCTTTTAACCGGAAGATAATAGGACATTCACAAGACATTAGGGTTCGTCAATTAACCGACGTTTATTCTGCTACTGGGCTCGACCTCTGATCCTTTCCTCTGCACTCGGTAAAACCACGGCCACGACCGTGGGACGGTTTGAGAAAGCTTGGTCTGGGGATAGTTGGGTTAAGGTTACCAGTGTGTGCAAAAGAGAAAAAGGGAGACAGAGAGATTTGAGCTGGCCACAGTGTTGGCTTTTCCTGCTAAGATCAAGTGCTTTCTCATCCTCCCACTGCCACAAAAGAGCGAGACCGAGTGCAGCCCCAGGTTCACTTTCCCTATCCACTCGATTCACTCGAAGCGAAGCCAAGAGTATTCTGTGTACAGGCAGAGGGAGTTTGGATTGATAAACCGTTCTCCCTCTCGGCACCGGATGGCCCAGAATTCTTGTGGCCGGCCACCACCACCTAATGCACCAGTTCTCTTTACTGTTCTCCCAATCCAACACGCACCCTCTCTACTTTCACAACAAGACACTCACATTAACATGTCTTTTCTTTCCTTTTGTATGAAAAGTTGGGGTGAACAACAACAATCGTACCCATTACTACCATTGACATCACTGCTTATCACCTTAAAAGAAGATATTCACTTCTTTCCTCCGAACAACAATTTCTCTCATATCTGCTATTTGTCCGATCCTTTTTTCCAGAAAAGCCAACTGATTACTGTTTTATTCATATTCCAGATCAAACATTCTGCCCTATTCAGCGACAGAGCAGACGTACCAATGTTCTGGAGCAGCTCCTCCAGGGATGACATCAACTCATAGTGAACCAGGTAAGAACCGCACAGGGGGTAGTCCAACGAACTGTCTTCGGACCACTCTACCATTTACTAGTTTTCTTCCGAAATTCTAAGACGATTGGGATGTGTATGGTACCTTTGGAATTCTCCACACGGGAGACCGCTCCTACCAGAGGTCGTTTTTTGGATGTGCCTCCGGTGACTATCGTGCGAACGACAGTCACGTCATCGTCCTAGGGGACATCCTCGATAACGACACAGAGATATTCTGAGAAAATTTCTGGATCATTCGGTTTACTGTTTGCTGGCACGAAGGTACATAACTCCAAAGACTTTCCTCACTCAATGTTAATAATGAAAGGAACAAATGGATCATGTCCATTTTGATCAATTTCCTCATTATCGTTATTGATGCCATTAGCATGCATAATGGAAGGGATGAAATGGAAATGTGGTAAAAGTTTTCTACCAAAACCATCGAAGGAAAAAGACAGATAGGGCGATTCTAGGGGATGAAAGTTGATGGTAACTAACGCTAAATCGGACGATAAGTCTGGGCGGTTTGGTGCGGGCGAAAATCGGTGCGCCAATTGCAGGAGGCGGCACTTTTGATTTATCCTAATTGCTATTTCGATAATGGAGACCATAGCTAAAGTGCTCACATACATATATAACCATTCTTGCATTCCCATTATCGAATACTCCGATCCTCCCTTCTCCAACAACATTCAGAGAAAATATAATTGTATTCGAATTAAGGCAATGTCCGGTATACCATGTTGAGGGTAGAGGTCAAAAGGAAACAGCAATTATTATCGGATTTAATACTAAATCTTCCGAGGACCCCCTGAGCCTCCAGACAAGCTCTGTTTTTATACTTATGGTGATGTACAATACCTCTAACGGAATAGATGAAAAAAATATGACAACCTATATAACAGGTTTAGTCACATTATGATGAGGTAGTATGATTCTGTGAGGAACCTCATGCCATCCAAGATCGTAAATGCAGAAAATGTTGGTTTGTACGACATTTAAACCACAAAACCAAAACATGGGAATGAAAACGTCCAGCCGTAGGGCAACTATTTCGTGGCTCATTCATGTACATTGCGAATGTCAGATAGTGCTTTGTGTGTCTTACGTGACCGCGAAGGAGCATTAGGTATCCTCTCAAAAACCACCGTTTCTCCATCCTTCATCTCTGGACAGTTGCCCACAAATACATGGACCTACTACCAAATCTGCATGTTAATATGCAAACGTCACCGGCGGATTTTTCCTTGCCTTGGTACAAGCAGCGGCAATCCAAATTTTTGATTAAAAAAAATCAAACTGCTTTGGACGAATCTATCAATCGGATTTTCTATTCCAACTCGAGAATTTCCGAATCTCAGTGAGAAGTAGCCCCTGATACAATAGAAAATAAGAAAAGATGAGGGGCGGAAGAAGACGAAGAAGTTTGGTGTCTCGTGCTCACAACAAGATGGCCCCCAAGGGTGTAGAGTTCGAATCCCATTACCGGACTCTCGCGGCCGTTAAATAGGTCTCGCATCGTCGACCGGAAAATGTACACACCATAACCTTCCCCTTCCCATGTGTAGATCTATCTTCTTATTTGCCGCCCGATGGGAATTGATGCGTTCCATTAAGAATCCTGGAGAATCACATTAACTCGGTGGAATTGGCTATTTCTTCTTTCTGTTCTGCGGCACCTGAATCGAACTTGTCGACGTGTTTGGAAAATAAATACTTCATTTACGTGAATACTTTGCTCATTTTTCCGATTCCATGGGTACATTTGTTTCCACCATCATTATCTTCTAATTTGTCCGTTTGACGATTAATTTAGGTCATTATCATTACTGTACAGCAAAAATCATGAAAACTGCGTGATGATTACCAAACACTCGTAATATTAACATTATCCGGTGTTTCTCGAATAGTTTGATATTCTTTTGGTTGGCCAGGAAGTACGGAATATTTTTTTCAATTTGGTTGTATCGTTGGTGCACCGCACCGAAGCGGTGACTTCAGGGTCAACCACTGATAGCAATTACCGCAAAATTCCCCTTCATGAACGATTCCATTTTCAAACAGCATGTAACTGATAAATGCAAAATTATCAGTCTATCCATGTAATGTTGTTTGTTCGTCCTGTTTGTAGACGTATATAACACAAGGCCTTATTATTAACGATAATGAAAAAAAACTGTCGACTCTTCAGCGACTTCTTCGAGTTCTTCAACGCGTAATAGCCTTCTGGCCTCAACATGGGGTCTATCGTTGTTACTATGCTCCTCTTCGCAGCACTTGTGAACACCGCATTTGTAAGATAATCTCAAAGATAATTTCTGTTAAATTTACTATTGACGGTAATGTTCTTAAAATTGATTTTCAGGGTCAAGGTGATCCTTCAGGGGCGGGTGAGACTGGCGCTGGTGACAGCACTAACACGGTTGGCGGCCCTTCATGCGAAACTGGTAATGAGGTTCCGGAAGCAAGTCAATCTGGTCCTGGACCTGACACTGATATTCCAGAAGGAAGTCAATCGGGTCCTGGACCTGATACTGATACTCCAGAAGGAAGTCAATCGGGTCCCGGAGCTGCTACTGATATTCCAGAAGGAATTCAGCCTGAACCTGGGTCGGAACCAAACGCAGAAATGACAATTGACATTGAAGCAGTAACATGTCTCTGTAATCTTCAAATTAGTGTTGATACCGAGGGTAAAAATGCTACTGCTACAGCTGGTGGAGAAGCTCAATGTGGTTTCGGTATCCCAATACCAACGGTTGGTTCATTTCAGGATAAATTCACATATCGTCAACAGCATTACAAACATCACTTCATTATTCATCTTAACCCAATTCCAATCTTAACCCAATTCACCTCGGCAAGACATTGACGGGACATGTAAAAATGCATGCTACATTTTTATTTGTTGCATTTGTTAGTTGTCGATAGATTGTGATGCTGTACTGAAAGGCGATACAGTTGGTGCTTTCTTCTATATATTGGAGGTTGAGAGGAACAGTATTTTGGGAGGCAGCTCGTGGGTTACCTTCGATCGCGATAAGAATGGTTGGGAAATAGTAGCATTGAATTTCCCAAAAGGACTGTCAGAGAGCAAAGATCTCAAAATAGTAAGATATTCATAGACATTAAAAGAAAAATTAGAGTTAGAGCAAATAAAATCCCTCTCTCTCTCTTCCTACCTAGATTTCTGGGTCACTTGCCCCAGACAGCGATTGGAAGGCTAGAATCTACAATTTAGAGGATCGAAAATCGAAAAAACTTACTATTTGTAAAAACAACGAGAAACCTGGAACGTACGAATACAACTTACTGGAAATGAGCAATCAAATCATCCTAGATGGTAAAGGATGTCCCGTTGCAAAGGTATCAGATAGAAACTTTTGATTATTGTAAAGCAATTATTACATTAGCATTTCTTCTGAACTTTAAGAATTGCTTTGATTCCAGGGCACGAAAACATCAGTAGTAGAACAGCCTCCGGAAAAATTACCACCAGCGATTTACCAGTTTCCCGAGATGTTGCCCTGTGAGAAGTTGAGTTGGGATGTGAAAATGAATGATCCGGACAAGAGAATGGCGTTTCAAGTATGGTATGATTTTACGCCGAAGGGTGCATGCAAACCCGTAGCCCCAAAAACGTAGGATTGTGCATATTATAGTATTGTAATATTGAAATAAATAAATAATTCTTATTGGAACTAAATAAATACATGGCGACTATTATTATATCTATTTATCATTATTTTTACTCGATGATAGAGCCGCTACATGATGGGCTACGATTTGACTTCACCTCGAAAATCGTCTAGCAAATATTTCATCTTTGATCGGTAATAGTTTTTTTTAACTAGAGGTTGAGGATTACTGCAGTATTATGGCTGTTTAGAACCAATTCCTGCATTTAGCCAGAAAAAATCCAACTCTTCGGTTGATTTGACGTGTTCGAAAGAATTTGATGATACAGATGATTTTTGTCATCCAAGCCAACGAGAATTTGTGCATTTGTTCAATCCTGCAACCTCAAACGATCTGTTAATCTCAGGCTCTTTGGAGATGTCATTATGAAAGATGGTTTAGATTTTTGTCAAAGGGTCCGTCATACCTTTTGAGTAAAGTAGAACCGTCGCACGACCATTTCAAGAAATCATCAAGGTTTTCCGCAAAATGGCTTTTTACTATCTTTGCTATCGTTGAAAAGTAAAATGGTGCTCATTTACTGAGTTGTGCAGTCGTAAATACAACCATCGTAAATGAAACCATTAAATTAATCGATGCGCGAAGCAGATAATCGTCAACAAAAACCACAATTTTGTGGCAGTCGATATCCAGTCTTTCAGTACCTAGTAATTTGACGATTTCAACATGAAATTCTTTCTCGTTGCATTTCTCTGCTGCGCGATTCTCCTGGATTCTGTATACGTAAATGATTTTCACTTATAATATTGCAAAAATATTCAAACTATCCAATATTTTCCGAACATTTTGTTGCATTACAATGCAAGTTTTGCAATGCAAATTGTACTACTATTTTATTATTATTTAAGAAGTCATTTGATAGACCGAGGAGGAGGATCCTTTCCTTTGTTGATTCTTGTTTTTTTAGAGTCAAGACAATCTGCCTTCTGGCAATGCTCCAGAAAAATCCGCTGATGATAATCCGCAAGCAAATACGACTGATTCGGTTAGTCAACCAAAAGTTCAAGGTGGCATTGATATTGAAGGCATTAAATGTCTGTGCAATCTTCAAGCTAGTGGTGATAGCAATGGAAACAGTCAAGCTAGCGTTGCTAAAAAAGCTGAATGTGGTTTGGGTGATCCAGCACCAACGGTGAGTTCATTCCGAATATCTTTCGGAATCAAGATCAAGAAAAATGATCATTCCTTAAAAAATATTTGAACTCAGGTCAAATATTAATGCATAATTAACACGTAGATCTGAAATGAGAATCTTTTTATACGATGTATCTCCAAATTTTCACATGCATGAATTACAATTATAAACGCGACCTATTGATTACTCCATTAATTATGATACTGCGTACGATTCAATAAATTTTTCAATAAATTATTAAATATACATTTCTACTTATAGTTGTCGTTGGACTGTGATGTTGTCTTGAATGGTGATATAAGTGGTTCATTCTTTTATATATTAGAAGTTGAAAGGAACTCTATTTGGGGAGGCGGTTCTTGGGTGAGATTTGATTACGATGCCGATGGTATAGAGATAACCGCCTTAAATTTTCCAAAGGGATTGGACACAACCCACGATCTCAAAATCGTAAGATATATGAATCGGAGAATATTCAAAATAAGTAGTGAGTAAAATCTATGACTGCCAATTAGGTTGCTGGTGGACTTGCTCCTGTAACCGCTTGGCAGGCAACGCTTTATAAACTAGAGGACCAGAAGAAGAATGTATTAAACCTTTGTAATAACACTGAACCGTCTGGATCATGGGAAGACAACTTGTTGAGGATGAGTCAACAAATTATCTTGGACGGTCGAGATTGCCCGATTGAAGAGGTACACCTCCTTAGTCTGAGACAATTATTTTTAATAAAATTCTCCTGCTGCTGGTAATTATTTTGCAGGGTGCAAAAACATCGGTTGTCCTGAAACCACCGCAACCATTACCACCTGCAATTTATATGTTTCCTGAGATGCTAATCTGCGATAGACTGAGTTGGAATGTCAAAATGAGAGATCCGGGCGGAAGCCAAGCATTCCAAGTCTGGTACGATTTCACGCCTAAAGGGGTGTGCAGAGTTACTAAACCTCAACGTCATGCATAAAAAATCGGCAAAACTGTATCCCAAATAGAGTTCACTTGATGTCCTCTATCCCTATTGGGGTTATTCAAATTTTTGTGCATCCTCAAACTTTTGCAGCTTTTGCACCTTTTACCAGCACTAATATTAAATGAATTTAATTAAAATATCTTACAACCTGAAATCAAAATTTGTACATGATTCTTAACTGCAACTGTCACCACAATCCTGCCGATGCAGGAAGTAAAAACAAAAGGACAAACGTAAGGACAGAAATAAGAAAAGTGCGTAAATTTCAGTATCTAAAAATTTCCAACTTTCTACTTGAAATTGTTCGTAACTGCGCCATACAATACATCAGCCAATTCATGGACCTAGTTGGTACATCTCTTGAACGTACACTCTATACTGTGCTGAGGCATCCTTGGGCCAGAACGCACGAAACGAAAATAAAATGTAAGTGGAAATTTATCGCCCCGGGCGATAGAAGACGTTTCCGTACTTTTAAATTTTTTATAAACTTTCTTTCTACATCGTTTTCTTTTCTCTCTGTCTTCCTTTTTTCTTCACTTTCAACACCACCCCTCCCCCCTCCCACCCACCCCCTCTGCCATCTTTGAACGAAAAGTGCGCTCAGTTACTGTCGATTTTCTTTTCCAACGGTTAGATATTCAACGAGGCGGGTATATATCGTAATGTTATTAAAACTTCTAAATGGCTATGGATCGTTTCTCGAGTTATACGTCTGAAGCCGCTGCTATGCTTTCGGCATTTTATTTCAACTATACTAACGCATTGGCATTGAATGAACAAGGAAAGGACCGGGCGAGACCGCTAGCGCCTTTGGCTAAGAATTATTCGCTTTATATTATTCCACAGGGGGTGAATTATCGAACATCAAACAAAATTCTGCGGGATGAGTGGTGTATTAAATAAAAATAGAAAAGTCATAAATGCGGAATGAAATTCTCTTTGCATATGTAGTATTTTTTTTGAGTAAAATTAATTAATATGATCAGCAAATTCCAATCAGGAGGGTACATGAGGACTCGTTATGAATTGATGTGCGAGAGCACGTAAACAAACGTGCGTCACATTAAATAAATCTATAGGAGGATTTGTGTTTCAACACATCGCACGGAATGTTTACAACCGAGCTATCAACACCCTTCAATCAATAGATTTCCCTACAGTATTATACCTGATGAAATACACAAAGAAGAATTTGCTCGAGAAGGTCGTTGAACACACGGTGAAGGAATGTAAGATAGAGGAGAAGCCTTCCTGGGTGAGTAATCAGTTTTTTTTATTATCCTTACATGAAAACTAATAAGCCAAGCAGCAAAACGCAATCCCTGAATTATTTATACAATCGGCATTTTTTAATACTCAAAACCGCCACGGGATTGGTGTTTTAATCATTTTCCTTGAAGTTAATATTTTACATTATGCCGGGAATTTTCCGGCGCCTAGACATCATTCGACGTGACCCGCATCCGGCATGTGTACAGTTGTGCAAAATAACGGGAGTGAAAGGGAGAAAAAAATGAAATGAACTATGAATTCTTCTCATTTGTTCTCCTTGAGTGTTTCAGGGGTTGTAGAAGTTGAGGATGTATTGTTGGTGCGATGACCCCAGAAAAATATCCCGAATCCCCCATTCTTGAACGATGAAACGAGCCGCGACACAGCCAGATTACTTTTCGATAAGGAATAATTAAAAATTTTCCCGTTTAAAGTAGTTAATTTCATTCCTGGTTTGGAGCCCTCGACTGAGGAAAAGAAAAGGGCAAGGGGATGTAGTAACCACGGGGATGTAAAAGGAGAAAATGAGAGGGAGCACTGGAGCGAACTATTCTACCTCACGGTGGTATGGGAACCGGAAAAAATAACCGCTAAAATACTCAGTGAGATAAAGAAGATAAAGGCCCTGAGAGTTTTGCTGGGCTTGGTGGTAATTTACATCGGTTTGTGATTTGGTTGGCGAGTAAGTCAACCCAGAGGTTATGTCATACCGGGAAAGAAATATTTCGTGTCGTCGAGCTTCTGATGATAACGGTAATTAAAAATTACGGGGTGAGACCGGCGAGAGAGTTGGGCGCCTCGGGAATTCAATGGGAAGAATTTTTTCTGGTAGTTCGACGTGATTACTGCATTAAAGTTTTGGAAACATTAGGTCTCTGCTATTGTTCCATCCCCTAATTAATTTCCAACTTCGAAAATTGATTCATAATCTTGAAAATTCTATCAATTAATTGGAATTGAATTAACTGAGTGATTAGATTAGATTACTACTGATATAATCTTCAGGGACATAATTTTAAAAAGCCTGAGTGTATAAATAGTCTTTTTGGCAACGTCGATGGTATGTTTGGTTAATGGTTCGGTAGTATGGAAGTTCAGATCATAAATCCCGTCGTTGGAGACTAATGTAGTGGTAATAGAGTATAAATGGGGGTCGCGCCCCGGGGTCAGCCTGTCTTACACCCCCACCCTCTTGACTGGCCATCCAAGTGGTGTAGACTACCACCCGCCCACCCTTACTAGACCGGCCAAGACCTTAAACTCACATTCGAGGTCCCTTCACACACTCACTACCATCGATTATCCAGCAATGACTTACAGAAGTTTCATGTCTACCGGCCACCGCCACTATATGGTCATGAATTTATTCATTCACGCGGGAATCTTATTCACACTCCTGTATTCATCGAATCCATCATTCTCCAGTGAAAAATATCTCAATTTAACTGGGAAACTTTCGAGCTATTTTCCAAAAATAGCTTCATGCATTTAAAATTACTTCCAGGTGGTGAACGTGATTGCAATCATTTTGAAAATGGGCGGGTGTCGATATTTGGAGTGCGCCGTTAACTCCTGTCATCTGGGGAGCGTTGGTGGTACTACGGAATGAGATAGACAATACTTTTGCTTCGGGGTTACTGCTATTTCCACGCGTAAAATCCAGAACTACGCGTTTTTACCGAAATTTGGTCGTTGGAAAAGATTCGGTCTAAAATCGTTTTTTCTGCATGAAGTATTAATGATTACTACAAAGTTGCTCAAGATAATCAGAAATGACAGAATGGTTTTCCAGAATTATGTAAAATCTGGAGCAACAGGGTACAGTAGTATAAATGCGATTTTTTTTTTTTTAACCATGTTTTTTTTAATCATTAAACAACAGATTATTTACAATATTTACATTGATTTTCATTGGAAAGAAACAGGTATATAAAAAAATTTATGTTTTAATTTGGGTTTAAAGAAAAATTTAGCGGTCACAGTATAAATGCGATCGTTTGTTTATAGTGACATAAATAATTCATAAAGATTAATAATATTTATGAAAAATGTACATTATCTAAAGAGAAGGTATTGATTGTAGTTCATATTTAACAAAATAAAAAATGCAAAAATAAAAAATCGTTCATTAAAATTGTCCATAAATGCGGTAAAACGTCTTAATGAATTATTTACACCTGCATGCAAAATTTCAGAATTCAATTGTCTAAACTAAACTTTGTTGACAGGAAACCCATTTTCAGGTGTCACGTTTTGTCTCGTGTGGCTCCAAAAACGTCGATATGATTTTGCCCAGTTGGCAACTTTGACATTACCGTATCTTTCGGGTCTCTCGTCAACTGAGTTGTATCGCCAGTTGGTCCATAGAGGCCAATGTGGAGCAGTGATTTTTCACCTTGCCACTGGACAATGAGCCCACAACTACTGACACTGTATAAACAACAACGGCCAGTCCCACAAGCAACACTCGAAAGAGTCAAAGGCGACAGTAGCATACTGAGGAGTGGTAAGTGGGTGGAGGCAAAACCCTTTCTCGCAAAGTTGTTTGAAAGTTCACGGGACAATGGTCATGTATCCGTGGCCCCTTCGCTATTTCTCCATTCTGTAGTTATACGAAGTGATGGTGGAAAGGTAGAGAAGTAGCTAACAGAGGTGAATGAAGAGGTGGCTGGGAGGAGAAGGGTGGATGGTCAGAAAAGCATCAGTGGTGTGGTAGTGCTGACCGGTGTTGGTCCGAAGATATGGTTGACGGGCTAGACTAGTGGGTGAACACCCCGCCCCACCCCCTAATGTCACCACTCGACACACACCCGTCCACTACAATCAACCCCCTTTCTACTGAGTTTATACCTATTCAATTCGTATTTCCCACCCAAAGTTCATATCACCAGGACTTATCATAATGCACTGTTCAATGATTGATGAATTTGGTTCACATGTTAACGAGGCTCCGTAACTCTTATCAAATAGCGTCCTTGAGCTTGAGTTACTGAATATTCGTTAATAGTGAGCGAATGATTCAATCATCTTAATTATTATGCCAAGCTAACAGCGCCATTTTGAAAAAAGATTTCACGCTACAATGACAATTGCGCCCCATTAAAAACTCATCACATAGCTCTGATGAAAAACTCTTCCCCATGATTGGATTTTCACAAAATTTAATAAACGGAGCAATTTCTCTTTGTCTTCGCAATCGATTTTACCGGCGGCACTTTTGATTCGATCTTGAGAGTAAACAAAAAAGGGTTGCAACGATACCCGGGGCGAAATCGCCGGGGAGATCTGTATCAAAATTTATTCGACGGTTTTATTTGAAAGTCGAGTTTTATTGGAGTGGGGGGAAGGAGAAAAAGGAGAGGAGGTATAATATACCCCCTCCTCTCATTCATCACACCCACTCCATGAAGATGGGTTGAGGGTGAGAAGAGTCAGACCCCGCGTGAAAATAATTCCACGGTATTTGACGACGTTCAACCCTTCCACCAGTTGGCGTCGTCTCTTTATCTTAATGAAAGTCCATAAATAAGAAGCCTAATGCCACGAAAAGGGTGGTCCAAATAAATTGGAAAGAAGGTAGAAGTGAAGGAAAAAAACCACCAAGAGTGACTCCAGGGTAAGGATGATGGTATCGGTAGGCGATGGTAAGATCTTAAATATTCTTGAATTCAGCCCCTCTTTATTCTTCAGCTACTCTGTGACACTAGGCCGGACTTGTTTCCATGTTTAAAACTGCCCCCGCGAACAAAAAAATCAGGGGGGGGGATTTGATTCTTCTCCCCCATCTGCAGTATCTCTTCATCCTCCAAGGGGTTGTGAGGTTAGAGTAACGTCTCGATCTTCGATTCCATTCAGAGAAAAGCAGCGCTACGGGCAAAAGA